TCTTGCTTTTGATGGCGCCAATCGTCAGCAGTTGGCTTCCTTTTTACTATAGTAGTTCGATGGCTGTCGGTGTTTTCCTGGTCATTCTAATTCTCCTTTTCCAGGTAATTTTTACCTTAAGTCTACCAAAAGTTTTGATTTTTCTTTGTGATCTTTGTACGTAGAAAGAGAGGACATCTTAAGAAGAGAAACATGAAATCTTGAAGAATTTAATCCTTTACTGGATTACGCAAATTTGATGCCGAGAAATTTATGAGATTAAAGAGACAAGAAAAAAGAGCTCATGAGTTATTCTAGGACATCAGTTGAGTTTGGGGCATTATCTCCCTTTCCAGGATACATGAATGATGTCGTTTCAGTTTATTCGATTTAGCATATTATGATCTCAAACAACTGTAATTTCACTTTCCAAAATTTCCTTGCTTGTCGCTTCCTATTTGATCTCATACGATCTGTTTTGAACTAATGTTCATTTCAAATTCTTTTTCAGGGCATGAAGTTATTGCCTACTGGAAGAAAAAACTTCTTGTATCTTACATTATATGGATCAGTGGTGAGTATGATTTTCCATTAGTGTCTCCTAAGTTTATTTTTCTTTCCTTTTTTACTTTATTATTCAAAGTTCTGACTTTCAACTCTTGTTACAGTTGGGGGCTGGATCTTTTATCCTACATCAGTTCTCTGTGATGGTGAACATGATTCTGGTCAATTTTGGGCTGAGCGAGGACATGTACAATCCGGTAAGACATCATCTCGTTTCTGTCATTGATGTTTTGAAATTCTTTCCCCGCTTTTCTAACAAGTATGAGGCTCTGTTTAAGAAAAAATATCCATCACGAGTTTGTTACGTATCCCATAGTTCCCTCGGTAGATACGAAACAGAGGTTGCCTGTTCATTTTTGTAGAGGAGAAAATGTAGTAGATACTGAATCATGTGAAAGAATTGCAAATTGCAAGAGATTGATGGGCAAGCCAAAACTAATAACTTTTGCAGGTTGCAGTACTCGTCTTTGTGGGAATTGTCATAGCGGGAGCTGCTTTAGGATTCTGGACGGTGAGGAAATTTGTGATTTCAGCAGATGGAGGTGTCGATGCTAGTGTTGCCCAATTTGTGAAATGGGCAATGCGTACTATTGCCACTACATTCATTTTCCAGGTATAGTGTGTCATTTACAGTGCTCTA